CAACAACAACAACAACAACAACAAGCGACAACAACAACAACAACAACAACAACAACAACAAGCAACAACAACAACAACAACAACAACAACAACAACAACAACAACAACAACAACAACAACAACAACAACAACAACAACAACAACAACAACAACAACAACAACAACAACAACAACAACAACAAGCGACAATTACTACCCCCACTCTACTTGCCGCTATTGTTGTTACGGTGACTATCATAGCCTAGTTTTTACACACGGCATGAATCGCCGTAGCCATCGTCACCATTGTATCACTTGCCTCTCGACAGCAGTGGTATACCACACAACTAAAAGCATCAACAGTAACTGCAGCAGCAGAGACGGCAGAAGCGCACCCACGATTTTGAGCAGGAACCGTTGTACTATTTTACCCGTGGTAGTTGTAGCAGCGCTACGGCTATCGTATAGTATAACAACACCCGGGGACCAAAGGCGCTGCATTTATGAGATGTCCGGTCCGATATTCGGAACGCTGGCCAGTCGGCTCGCCAAGCGGCTAACGCTATGGCTGGCTGTTTTGCCGCTGCCAGTTACCCTTGGCAATGTACGCTTGCCATGGTCTCGTCCGGTCCGTAACCACGTCTAATCCGCTGCTGCTCCAGCCGTTGCCAGCCATTACTAGCTAATAGAGCGAGCCGTGAGCCAATTGAGTCGAGCTCGCTAGCCAGCGCCTGATACACACGAGAGGACCAATTCAGGCAGATAGGAAGCGAACAAATGCGTCACGACAGTTGTGACATTCAATTGCTGCCGCTAAGCTCGCAGCCATCTTCATCGAGAGACACAGCTGACAGGGAAGCAAAGAAGCGGCTTCTACTATAGAGCTGTCAGCGGGACTTTGCGAGCCGTACGCACTTTCGTCTATTGGGTCCTGGGCATTAACTATCACCATAAACTTACTAAAAATTATTATCCGTTGTTTGGCGGAAAATAAGTACAAGCACAAAAAATTATACAAGGAATATGACTATGGCATGACCGTTTCTCTCCTTGGCAGTTATGTGCAACAGTCCACAACGGTCGTTGAATGGATAGATGAGACGGCGGCTGTTTCAGCAGACAGGGACACAGACGACCAGGGGATGGCCGAGCTGGTGGACGTCGACCCCGTTGTTCACAACGGAGTCAAGCCAAGCCATCGATGATGGTGTTATACGAGAACGTCGTCTACGCAGTTGAAGAAGAATGGTAAGCGAAGGGTGACCATAACAGCTCTGATAATGCGTTTGCGGCAGACGCGGCTGTCTTATTCCACTGTCCTGAAGGAAGTAGCGTTAAAGTTCAGCCGGAACTAGTGGTTGTAATCGGGATTCAGCCTAAGATATCCTATTGTTCAGATTAGCCACACCTACATATGTGATATTAAATCGTTAAATAAATTACTTCTTTTCTCATTTTCCAGCATAGGCATGCATATATCATCGTAAGTGTTTTAGCACCTGTGGTAGCCCCTGGCTGTGCTAACTTCTCTGAATATTGTTGCATTTTATTTATATTTAACTGTTGTTACAGAGCTTCGGCACGATGTAGGTGCATTTTTTTACAGTGTGCGTAATCAATTGTCTGAACATAAATATTATGCATGAATATCTAACGTTACGGATTATTGCGTGGATGCCGTTTTGTTCTAGTTTGTGACGGACGATTTTCCTGCAGTGCACTATATTACGTTATAGTTTACAATAGAACGGTGATCAGTCGATCGGCAGCGGACACGCCCGATATGACACTGCCTGTATTATGCAACAATGTTTAATCGTCTAGAACAAGAAACACCCGCCTGTCCGCGCTACTCTGACTGTGCACTAGGGTTTCGATGGCGAGACCCAGTGATATAGCCATGATTTACTTCGAAATTCGTGCGGTGCCAGCAATTACGGTGGCAATAGCAACAACGAAGGCATCAGCAGCTTGAACAGGTAATTCGATTGATTCGACTTCACAGCTCAGAGTCAGCCTTTATTTATAGAAAAACGAACGAATTTTGGACGACTTTCGTTATTGCTCTATTCGTAACGATATTTATGTAATTCTGAAGTGAAATTGTCGTTAACAACAACCGTTAACCAACGAACGTAGGGAAGGACACAAACAAGTCCTAAGCTACTGTGACGGCCAAAGTTCACTATTACCACTTGCAACCAAATAATCCTCGAAGTAATATGAACGCCATAGCAATTGTAGTAGTACGTCATAATAATAACAACAACAAAACGTACGGTGACAAATGCTTCGACGGCACAGTGACGTGACTACTCAACAAACAGACACCTGAAGACGTAAAACAATTTATAGGCCCGACCGAGACCAACGGCCGGGCCTGCTCTCGAAAAGCTAATACAAACGTAGGTGCTAAATAAAATATGCATAACGGCCTATAGACTTACTATACAAACACACATATGCATATTATTGGAATGCATAGCGACAAATCATAGAAATGGCAAACGTTATAGCAGTTCCAGAAATAGTAGCAATAGTCGAGGGCATCAAGGACGCAATGAGCTTAAAATTAAGGCTATCATGAAAAAAAGGCAAAGATGTTCAAAGAACCGCACAAAAAATTCAAGAAAATACTCAGTCATGCCTGTTATCAGCGTCTACTCCCAACATACAACTTTCGGAATAGTTGAATGCAATAGAAAATTCATAAGCGAGAAAGATGCCGGACATTAATGGTGTATATATATATATATATATATATATCGTTTCAATCAGCCATTACTGGGAGATAGCAGGATGAAAAACATTTTGATAGATGTGACTTTCGGGCATTTTCTTAAAAATCAGCATTGACAGATCGCAAGATTAGGTCAGTAAGAACAGGGTCAACACCTAAAATCGATAGCATGCCTTAACCTAATTAGTATGTTTGGCGGTGTGTGTTTCCGATGAACTTGCGTATAAAGCTATACTATGAGTATACAATGTGACTTGACCGTTACGTAGGAAAACGTTGAGTCTGAATATACACTTGATATAGCGTGTCCCATTTAAAAACCTTTTTCGCAAAACCTACCATTGAAAATGCGCGTTTAAGCGCAAGCGAAGTGACGCGTTATCCTCTCCCCAATGCCGTTATTAGAGCTATAATCGCGGTAGAGATGCGCTGATGGAATTTCCTCAATAACCAACAATAGCGAGACTATGGCTGCGCGATCTTACCCTGCTTTCAGGGTAAATCCACAGATTACGTGCGAGTATTACGGCGGACAGTCACATGATAATCGATACCTCTGAATGTGTTAAATGCAAGACACATCCCGCACACTAAAGAGCACCGTATCAATTCCAGTTGAATAAATATCTGATGTATAAGTTGAGTAACTTTCAGTATTTTATTTATAACGAAAAAAGGCAAAATCATGCATCGTCGCTGATATACACGTTTTAAAACTGTCCCTCGGTTTTAGCTTTTCGCAACTAAGAGATTAATTTGTGCGGGGTTAAATGTACTCGCTCACAGGGTTTATCGATGCCATTAATCCTACCTAATCGCTCGCTTTAGTACACTTCAGCTTTACAATAGGGCTAGCACGCAAAAAATAATCGTCTGCAATCGAAGGGCATTCCATTTACTGAAAGATACAAACCTACCTAGTTAGCTCTCGAAATTAGCTAATCCACAAGATGCATTTGTTGGGAGATAAAGGGATTATATATATATATATAAGATTTCTGCACCTTTTTACTGGAGGACCAGTAAAAAAAAAAGGACATCTTAGGGATTATCTTATGTATCTATGAATAGATTTAGTTAGGCTTCGATTAAATCCTGGGAGAACGGTTGTGTGAACCTGTCCACCGGCATTGATTAACCTCGTTTGTTAAACCGCTTTATTTGCAGCTACTACTCTCACTGATTAACCACCGTAATTGTACAGCCACCTATCGGCGAAATATATTGTTTTTTCTCTTTGCATACTTAAATGAACATGTCGATATATATCTGATCGGTCTTCGCGATACTTCGCGCAGGCACCCTTTTGGTTCAGGCTATCTACTACTAATATAAAATCATCGTAAAAAAGCTAGCCTGATTCTAAAGGTCGGCAACTACAGACACTTTGTCGGGACAGATATTCATGATATATATTAGATGACACACATACAGGACAGAGTTCAGATTCTTGCATTGCCATTAGTGTTCCTGTGCTCCTTTCAGCTACCTAGTGTCTGTGTCAGCGTATTTTACCGTCCGAAGCAAATCTCACTTCCATCGTCCACCGTCAAATTAGGTACCGACGATCGCAACAGCTATATCGTAACGTTACCAACACTGCACTACAGACAAAGTAACAGCAACAGCATCAACACATGTAGCCCTATTCCCGTTCATCGCTTGGCAGCACAAAAGAGGTTAGTTAGATTTTTTCAGTTTACTAAATTATAGCTAGAAAGCACATAACGCTTTTTCCATACCTTCCCTTACACCCACATACACATACAAAGCCATACGGGTCAATCATGCTAGCACAACTAACCGATTGGCCTTCAATCGATCATGTCATCATCGATCAACAATCAGTCAATGGGGCAGCAGCTTTGAGCAGACAGCATATTTTAGTGTTATTTACACACACAGTGCACAAGCACACGCCCAGCGACTTTTACTTAGTATGTTGTTATTATAGTAGACGGACTTGATCACGTAACCTTGACGTATTCGCAATCCGCAACGAAAAACAAAGGTGGCAAACCAAAAGAAAAAAATTTTCGCTAGCAATAACCACAACAAGAACAACTAATCAGTAACGATGAAAGAAATTCTTTGTGTTCTACGTATATATATATATACTAGATAGAGTGGTTACGGTCGGTGGTTTTTTTGGCTAGTTATTTTTTCGAAACGGTAGCATTTGTACAATTGTCAGTATGAGCAATAACAAGAAAAAGAAGAGCAGCAATTTGTGTGTTATGTTAGAGATAGTGTTTTTGTTATTATCGTTTTTGTTGTTCACCTGTGATTGCGTTACTGGAAGACGTCTGCCTGCTCAGCTTCGGTTGCGCCCCCCCTAGAACAGTATTCATTAACAGATAATAATAATAATAATAATACAAGATAAAGAAACTACTACAGCCAGTAATAATTGCGTTGCCAACGTACGTTAACATTATACCTGTTCATTCAGAAAATATCGGGAGAAAAAAAAAAAATAGCCCTGACGTCGTGGCAACGTTTTAAACAAGCTAAACAAAGGTCTATGCTATTCTCGTTTTGGACATATGTATTGATCGCTAAATAACGTATAACAGACGACAAGTAAAATAGTTAACGAAATTGTGTTTCTGATATTTGTAAAACGAAGTCACAGATGATGATGATGATGATGATGACGACAAAATGATAACACTGATAAGTCAACATATATATAAACAAAAACAGGATGACACGTCTTTATCTATATTCAGAAGATCGAATCAGATATTTCCTTGCTCGCTTTGTAGAGAAAATAGACACTTTTACAACAATCGTTTAATAGTTTCGATCATATTTCTAGATGATTAGAAGATGATTTGAGGTCCGTGCATAGCTATGACAACTCTTTGGTTTGCTTTAGCACATCTTGTTGTGGCGTAACCGTACGAGCGACGATTTCAAACGGCCTGACGTCGTGACAAATTGCACGAGCTTTTATGAAATCGCTTCTTCATAACAACAACGACAGAATACGAGATATAAATAGCTCGATAGTATTCCTCCAAAACCGCCGTCAGCGAGCGGTGCGTTAGCATTTGCGACCGCCGGCGGGCAAAGTAACAACCCTGAACGACATACCGTTGATCGCTCCGTGGTCTGTGCTACTTCTTCATGCAGAAGGCACACTATATCAACGGTAATACTTCATTTCACTTGATTTCATTCCAACTTCATGCTCGATGAATGTATCTTCCATAGATAGCCATAGTTGTCGTATGGCGTTCACGTCCTTCTTTCAAGGTGATTGTGGTGTCTTCGACCGTGCTACGACCGTTTGCTTTTTGGCTATGTGACGCCGGCAGATGCTGCCGCCGCGAGCGCTGTTGCTAATGTCAATGCTACCTGGTCGCTCGCTACCTAGTCATGAACCGCTCGGGACGCGAACGTGTCTCGTTCCGTTCTGTTTGAAGTTCGAATTATCGCCATAATCAGACGAAGCGGATGATCAGACGCCCAGCATTTAGAAGACAGCGGCACGGTGGTAGTAACAGTCGCGGCTGTGACGACGACGACGACGACGACGACGACGACGACGACAGGTCGAACCGAATGGCAAGGGGTTGCCTAAGCAGTAATACTAACTCAAGCATAGTATTTCGATAAGTTGTAATATAGTCATATCATTAATAATATAGCTTTTTAGTTTTGGCTGTAGTAGTCAACGGGGCAGTTTTTGAAGAAGGACAAATTAGCCACGCTTCTCACACCTAGAGTCCAGTGTCATCAACGCTGGTTACGATGTACCAGCCGATGCGCAAGCGATGGCCGGTAGATTTCTTCAGTTGTCGCCTTTGCCAAGGTCACTCAATGAAACTTAAGCTAAGTGCTTGCTACACGTATATGGTGAATGCTATTGGCCTGTTCAGCTGGCCATTGCATTCACCACCAATGCACTCACTGTGCCAAGTCCGACGCGGCGAGAATTAGGAATAGAGCGCGACAGTTGACATTTGCTGCTGCTGCTGTGGAAGCCAGGCCACTCACGTTACTATTATGCATGACGTTGTTATTCCTGTTCTTGTTGACATTGCCGTTGTTATGTCGTTTCAGACTGATATCATATGCAGATTGGGGATATTTCAGTATTTCAACGGCCAGTTTATCAGAAACTCACACATATACAGAGACATGCTCTGCGAGTGAACAGCGTGCCGGGCCTATAGCTACCGTGCAGGTCTATCGACCATGTCTGAGTTGTCGTCCGTAGCAACGATCGACCACTGAAAACATCCAGTTTCTTTTGAGATTACATCTTCTGATTCTTCTTGATAGTGGAGAAAACGGGAGAAGGCGTAGAACCTCCAATCGAATGACGGGCCATTGCTCTTGATTCGATGAACTCTGACGTCTACGAATATGACGGAGTATACCAAGCTTATTGGCAGACATCCGGACGTCTAAGCTACGCTATTCCAAAACGTTGAACGGCAAGCAATATTGCTTTTTGCTGCTTTCAGACAGTAAACAAAGCGTCTAGCACACTTTGCTGTGGCGTCCAGAATCTCTCATTTCTGATGACGGGAAGTAACAGCTGCTTACCATATATTAAGTTGGATCGTTAAAGGCGGTTGACTTCGTTGCAACAACTGCCATTACTCCAACTCGTACTTATATACGATAAACAAGGTCATATATATATATATATACATATATTCGTAAAATACCCTAAACATAGAAAGGTCACTATTAACGATAATTATATTCCACTCGTGTATGTGCTATAATCTCTACAGAGTTGACTATTTGAGATTCTACGATTAGATATAACGTCTGGCTTAACATCTAGGTATCATACCTAAAAATAGAAAAATCCGTTGTGATCTCTCCGGCTCACACATGACTGTAGGTGTTAGTTCGATGCAAAGGGTTTCTGTTTGTTATTTTCATTGTTCAATAAGCACTGTCAAACAAGGCTGGACGCATCTCCTAAATTAGTTTAGTCAGATTTGTGTCTATTTTCAAACGACAACCGTAACGACATACGCAACGAAAACTCTTACGATTTAAAGCTAGCCTACCTATTTGAATTCATCTAGGTATAAACTGAACCTAAACATCTCTGATACGTGAGGACGGGGAAGGGGGTAATCAATGGACCTTGAAAAACGATAACTTAAGCTCGGTCACTGATTGAGACGCACTGAGCACGTACCGTTCTCGGCGGGGTCGCCCTTCTTCGTGGCAGCAGTATTTCCCATATTGCCGCTGTTTGTAGAGGAGCAGCAGCAGCAGCAGCAGCAGGCAGTAGCAGTAGCAGTAGCAGTAGTAATAGCAGCAGTGGTAGCAGCAAAGCTGGACACGAACTTGCGCACTGACAACGAGAACTCTTCTACGATAACGCACCGACGAACCAAATCGGTGCAATGACAAAGAGTGTCATACGATTACGAAGGGAAGAAAACAACAAACCAATTCTGAGCACAACGTAGCGAAGAGCGCACAACAATCAGCCAACTACCTATAGCAAGGATAGTAACTTAGCGTCTTTGTTGGGCGATGATATTGTTCGCACCACGAGTTTTTGACGACCTCAAAGTGACTCACTCTCTCATTGAACACCGATGTTCTTGGTTGTTGTTGTTGTTGTTGTTTATAGAATCCAGAGTCAAAACGACAACGACGATTCCTCTGGCGTTCGTTTTCGCGCACAATGTCCTTCGCTTTCAAGCTGATTCTCTGCCAGTTGCCGCTCGGCTTAGCCGCTTATCCGTTCTTCGAGAGCAGTGGACGCCGATATACCGTCACCAGTAATTGAAGAAGCGAGAGTGCCTAGTGGTAACGGTGAAATATTACTTGTTAACGCCCCTGCTGCTGTTGGCTATTGGTAATAATGTAACTGTCGCAGCGGTGTGACGGCACAGATTTGAGAGATGTATTATTTTTATGTCTTTATATAGATATATAGATGAATATACACGAGTACATATATATATATACTTCGGATAACAATGACGAGTTGTTGACGCTGAGCTGTATCGGCGAAAATCCTTGCCTCTTTGCCAACAACTCAACAACGTAGTCCTTCTTTGTTTCCTCGCTCCCTAGTTCTAAGCAGAAATGAGGTAATCCAGCCTTTGGACTGTTTCTGTGGTCTCACTGTTTTTCGCCGTAACAACCTTCACACTACTTTTTGAACTTGTTTCTGCAGTCGTTGCGAATCTCGTTATCTGAATCGCCTCTCTCTCTCTCCCTCCCTCTCTCTCTCTCTCTCTATCTCTCTCTCTATCTCTCTCACTCACGCACACTCTCTCTCTCTCTCTATCTCTATCTCTCTCTCTCGCTCGCTCGCTCGCTCGCTCGCTCGGTCTGACTCTCTCTTTCTCTGTGTAACCCTTTTGCCTGTCCTCAGTATCCTTTGTCGTTCTGTCGTCCGCTGGGCAATCCTGCTGACACGACCTGTAGTATTTCTTTAGCCGAGTCTTCCGTTTTCGTTCTGCTTCTGTTTCCCGCACTCGCGCTCGTGTTTCTGCCACCGATTTTTCCTGTCCATCGGCCGGAAGCAGTTGCACCGTATGAAATGGACTGACGGCCAGCAGCCACGCACTCGTCAACTGTTTCGCACTGGGCCTCTCCTATTGCATTGAACTCGCTGATGCTTGCGATGGTGTTTTTACTGCTGCTGCGGCATTTCTTACGTTTCGGCCACTGCTCTTTAACTCACACGCCCCGTAGTATAATAATACACACAGTTTCTCGGTGACGATGATGATAGCGGTCACCGTCGCCACCGCCGTTAGCGGGACCAGGCTCAGCGTCAGCCGGTCGAGCGACCGACGACACACGACGCTCTATCGTTGTTGCTGCTGCTGCTGCTGCTGCTGCTGCTGTAGCGATGGCTTCGCATTGGCCCTGCCGCTTTCAGCGGTTAGCAGAGAGGTGTCTCTCGAGCTGTTTGCTGTTGCCGCCGCCGTCGCCACTGCTAAACTCGCTAGGCTGGCTAACTGACTTGTTTGTCTGCCGGCCGGCCGGCCGGCCTGCCTGCCTGCCTGCCTGCAATGGTAGTCTAGTCCCCTCGTCTAAAGTCGCTTTTCACCACAGCGACGGCTACTGACTAGAATCATCAAGAAGTAGTAGTGGTAGCGGCAGCCGCGGAACACCGTTCGGTGGCCAGACGAAGCCAACGGCCACCTAGCGGACTGTTAGTGGCCACCTAGACCCCAACCACATCGGCCAGAGCGCGGCGACGAGGACAGTAACAACAACAACAACAACGATGCTGGCGACTACGGATGCGATAGTGTCTGCCGTCGACTAAAAGAGATGCTGAGGAAAGCCGAGTAAAGTCGTTGTGTCGGCGAGAGCTGTCGCCGATAGAGAAAGTTACTGTAGCTGGTTAGATAATGGCCAGCTGGCTACTGCTATGAGATGACCGACAGCATGAACGCGTTGCGACCGCAATGACGTCGGCCGTCACAGCAAGAAACAATAACGCGGTTAGTAGGGGGCACACAGACGCTCAGCAAGAGCAGCACCGCCACCGAGGTCTGAAATGCTGTGGTAGGTCGCTTAGTTGTCTCCTGACGCTTGCTGCTGTGGACAATTGTGCTTCTTAGTTAAAAAAGCGAGAGTTGCTACGCCGGCGGCAACGAATCAGACCATCAAACCAGCCTTCGCTTTAGCTTTGGTAGCCAATTTTCCGGCTGGCCAAAACGACAATAGCTTTGGCTTGAGCTTTAGCGCCAACCAGAGGACGGGCAGGTCGTTGTTGGTGGTTGCGTGATATTCGTAATGGTAGAAACGCTGTCAGTAGCGGTGTTGGAACAGGAAACGCGCCTATAGAGCGGCAACGGCGCGCGCACACACCGAAAAAAAGAGAAATAGGTAGATCGTTTGCTTCCCTTTTGTTTTTGCATCAACAGTTAAAGCTGCTGCTAATGTAGCAGTCGCAGGATGCTGAGCAGTACAGTCAGCTGCTCCCTATTGTGGTGGTGTCGTTAGTGCAACGCTAACGGCCGCCAGCATTCCCAGTCTCTGTTCAGCTCTTCAACCAGAGATAAGGAAGCAGCTGTTTGTGACTACATAGGTTGGTTATAGTGAGCAGAGCGCTAGCACGACGTCTAGCTGTTTCGACCACTTCTGCCAACTAGTGCTGAACCACCGCGTTAGCCTGTCTATCGTCCACCGGCCGAACGTTGCTCGGTCTGTAGTAAGAGCAGCAGCAACCGCAGCAGCAGCAGCAGCAGCAGCAGCAGCAGCAGCAGCAGCAGCAGCAGCAGCAGTGGGAAACAGCGGACGACACTCTGCGCGTTCTCCGTTGACTACGCCGGTGGCTTCTGTGGGTTGTTTTGCGGCAGTGAGCGTCGGCGGCCTGCTTCTGCTGTTGCTGCTGCTGCTGCTGCTACTACTACTGCCGCCACCGCCACCACCAGTCCTCTTGCTGCTCTCGCTTGTTGACGACGGTTTTAGCACAGCTGCGCCGTTATTGCAGCCGACGCCGCAGCGACACTGCTATGTGAGCTTGTGAAACGGACAAGCTTTGTAAACGGCGGAGTACAATGGCGATGTGCTTGCTGCCTTATTGTCCAGTTAGTGAGTAGGGACTCGCTAATACCGTCTCGTCTGTTGGTGAACTGATTGACCGAAGGGGTGGTCGGCGGTGGCGGCGGCGGCGGGCTGATCAACGAACTGGATAGTTCGTCGCGCGTACGGGATTTCGTTAGTCACCACGTAGGGCTTCTCTCGGCTCTTGCTCACTTCCTTACTTGGTTAATTAGGTGGCCATAAGAAGCTTCCAAGGTAAACGCTGTTCGAACGGCGCAGATACGCGCACCCGTCGTACACGGCGGCAAAGTATTGGAGGAAAACAAAGTAAGAAAAAGTGCCCCACTTACGAAATTTAGCTTGTTTTCGCTATTACTAAGCGCTAGAGCTTGCACTCGCCGATTCTACTCGTTTAGTTTAACCGTCTGAGTGAACGGCAGCTTCTTGCAGGATTCCACAGCAAATGCTTTTTCGTGTACGCACTTATTCGCTGCCTGTTTGGGTTTTGCTTATACCTTTGGCAATAGTGTCACTCAGGTGTAAAGTGATGTCGTCGTCGTTTATCGCTTCGAACTGACTCGCACACAGATAAAGATGCAGTAGACTAGTTGCGTCTCCTTGCCGGTTTTTTCGCTTGGCTTACGTTGTTGGTTACGTGTTCGTTGCTAAACCAGTTAGCACCTGGTAAACTTAAACTAGCTGCCTGCGCAAATCACCAGACCTGGACACGCTGACAGCCCAAGATACAGCGACACAAAGCCAAAGGTATACCTGCCAGATCGTCGTACCAAATCCCTGTAACGGTGCCGATTACCGATGCTCCTTTTCCTTTTGCGAATTCGTGGTCCACGCGCGTGAGATGGTTACCAGCCTCGTAAGATATAACTCATTACTATCGAGGTATATCTGAACACTCCGTATAACTCGGGCAGGTCAGGGACACTGTGTTGGATGTCCTTCTCTCAAACAGTTTGTTGGTAATTGTGACTTTCCCAAACTAAGAGCTACACAGCGATCACGAAAAGACTGACGGCGATGCCACGGCAAAACCTCATCGACTGATTTTCATTCGCCTTAGCGGAGAGGACCACCAGGTCGTCTTAGATAGATGTGTTTGTCCGCCAGCGTTGAGCAGGAGCGTGAATGAGAACGGCAGACTGCGTCTTGACTTTTCGTTGCATAAAGCTACTGTAGTCGCCAATCTGTTCACGTTGCTTTGCCTATTGTGATACAAGCTTGACGTTTGCTTGCAAGATGGTCGTCAGATGTAGGACATCGGACGTTGTCTGCGGCCTGTTTGCATTCGACAAGCTTAAACTAACTTGTCCTATCTCACGCAAAACACTACGACGCTGGGCTACACCGGCACTGTTCATTTAGTGGCCGTCACTTCATACAAGATATCGTCTTCGTCATGTAAATAGCCGCTACGATGAGATATAGATACGTTATTTCGTTTGTTGATCTGATTATTGTAGGGTGACTACTGTTACGCTCGTTCGTCTCCTATATTGCCATTAGTTAATGCTTGTTTATCGTTATTTTCCCGTTACGGCTTCGTATGTGCCGGCATTATCACTGCCGTTGTTATTGTTGTTGGTATCTCTGCTGAGCAAGTAATATGCTTGAAAAAAAGACGCGTTAGTTTCACACAGTCCACCAGTAGCGGTAGTGAGGTGTTTCCATGCGGTTACCGTAGCAGCTATCACGCTATAAACAGGGGGTACACTCGTCGTATTAGCAGCAGCAGCAGCAGTAGCAGCAGCAGCATACGACGTATGATTTTATACGGATGGACGCCGAATAAACGCTAACGCCCTGTTCTCAGCCGGTAAGCATCTTGCCGTCCTTCTCGTTTGCTTGCTCGTTCTCTGGCTGCTGATTGCTTCTAGGATCTGACTCTACAGCCAGTACTGCTTCTGCAGATGCGTCTACTCGAGAGAGAGAGTCAACTGTATTCATTCTTTTGTCAGTTAACGCAGTCTGTCGCTTTGTATCGGTAGCATCGTGGTGATCCTGGCCTTCACAGGTTTATTATATTTAGTAGAAGTTGCCACTATAACAATGACAATCCACTACACTGATGGCTGCTGTTGCACATACACTGACCTTGTTGTCACCACCATTCGTATTAGGATTTTTGGTTGAAAACAAAAAAGTTACAGTAACCCCTGCCCCTTCCTATTTGATCGTTTCGGCAGGCCGGGGATAAAATGTTTGAGCGTTATGTGCTCTTGATTCTTGATTTTTCCGTTTTTTCCCCAATTCTGACTCGTGCTATCCTTCTTGACAAAATCAGCTCATTTCACAGATAACAACACCAACAGCGTACACGACCAACAATATGCACCTGTCACACCCGACGGTCATTCACCTAACGCACCAACAACGAACGATCATAATCAATACATATACGTATATATATATGTACTTATATATATTGGTTATAACAACAATATTGCACTTCACCACCACGAAGAAATTTATACCGGCGCGAATGTCATCAAAATCCCGCGGGACTATTGTTTCCTACGATGTGCACAGACGCGTGCAAGGACAAATTCGCGCGGGAAATAGGCCGCGCAGGGAGTCGCCAGAAAAAAACAACAACCGCAGTAAGACTATGCAAACAAGCTAACTATCCTAGACTAATAATAATGATAGCCGCTGCAGTAAATCTGCCGTAGCTGCTAGACTCAGCTCAGCAGACATTCGTATCTGAAAAAAAGTATGCATTTCTTTGCTGCTAATGTCGCTTGTTTCTGTC